CACTCATTCTGCGAATCCCTCAGCGGTTGGATCGCCTTTTCTAGCGTTGCTAAGTCTACTCCCTCCTTAACACTAACATCATCGTACTCATCTTCAATACTACTGGTGTTCCCTTCGAGGTCGGGCGCAGACCCACCTGACCGGTCAGCGGAGCTCCTCCTCGATCCTTTAGCAACACCAAGCCTTGAACGTCCAGAAGAGGGTCGTTTTCTCTTGGATGGTTTCTTGCCAGGCAGGTGTACGCTCAATACACTGGTGGTGCGTACCATAGGCGCCTTGAGGCGATACTGGGTCTTGATGATTCCATTGTTTTTGTATTCTAGTAGGTCTGTCATGGGGTCCCATGGACGTATACTATTAGGGAAACACCGAAACATTTACCAATAAATATTAGAAAATCAGTGCTTTATGAGAGCACACAGCACGCCAGCATTTTTATTTTGTAATAGCCCGTTTTCTCAAGGTTGCGTGCGCATCCAAATTTAAGGAACTTGACGGGCCATGATACCAGAACACGAGCTTTATTATATGATGAGTGTTATCCTACATTGCTATTAAATTTTTTCGATAAGGATTCATAAAATCGATTATTATATGACCGTGAATCTTAGAGCCTGGACACTAGCAAATCGAGCAATCTGATTGGATAGATCGCATCGCGGACTGGTCTGGATTCTCCGGTATTAACCGGTCCGATCGCATATTAATCTTACGGCGAAAACATTTTGTCGTTTTCAATGAAAAGTGGTCATATAATAAAATTCTTATCAACCGAGCTTGGTCGGTCTGTACGGGATAATCTTGACCTCGGTCGGGTACAGACCTCGGTCAAGATTATCCCGTACAGACCTCCGCTCGGTTAATAAGATCTAATTATTGTCCTCTTTAAATAGAAAACTGTCTTCTCAATTTTACTGAATTTGCGTTTTTCAGTTTTGTGGCCCGTCAAGTTGGATGCGCAACCTTGAGAAAACGGTCTATTCGTATCCAAAATATTACTTGCTCTAATTTGTATTTTATAAAAGAAATAAAAAAACTTGCTTGCTGTGCTATGGGGAGTTATAAAGCACTTGGGGATTGACAGAACACTGGAGAAGTGTTGAGAAGCTCTCTGTTACGTGTCATGCTTCTCATATAACTTCCCTGGCGTTCTGCCAATCTGCGTGTGTTTTATAACTCCCCATAGCACAGCAAGCAAGTTTTTTATTTCTTCATTATCGAGAAGTGTGACATTAATTATGTCAAGGAAAACTATTTTAAAAAAGAGCTTTAAACCAATATGGATGAACATACTCAGTGTATTTGTAGACCCATCGATTCACAGCGCCATTAGCGTCTGGTGGCTGTTCAAATAACTTTGGTACCCAATCCACGCTTTGCTCTTTGCGTTCTCTATGTCCCTTTCGCTGTGCTTCTTCCAGGGTAAATTTCTCTCTWGTGGCGGCTTCCTGTTAATACACAACATCACAGATATACAGTTATAAATCTTTACATAATTAAACAAGAAACAGGGTTCTAGACGTCTGAGATTTTGGTTTCCATTAATTAAAACTCCAACGAACTAACTAAGGTATAAAAAGAAAGTAAAAGTATTGATGGTGGAGGCGAATAATACTAGTTGGTATGACTCCTAAGGGAGGGGAGGGGCGGGGAGATTCGTACCTGGTCGGCAACCCTGATTGCGTTACTGACGGGGATCCACTGTCTGTAAAGAAACAAAATACGTGTCACGCAAGACTACGATTTTATACCAAAATACAGTCATTCTTCAAATTGTTTTGACACACAGCTCAGCAATAGACTTCTTTAGTTTCCCATCTCAGACTACGTGTCATTCTCCATATTCATGTCTTCTCATGCGCAACCGTTAAATTAAACAAAGTAATGATACTCTAGGGAATGACACATGGTCGTAAGAATATGATTCTTTGTTTGAGTTGTATCCATATTCATGTCTCTTCTCATGCGCAACCGTTAAACAAAGAAATGATACTCTAGGGAATGAAAACATGGTCTTAAGAATTAGATTCTTTGTTTGAGTTGTATCCATATTCATGTCTCTTCTCATGTGCAACCGTTAAACAAAGAAATGATACTCTAGGGAATGACACATGGTCTTGAGAATTAGATTCTTTGTTTGAGTTGTATCCATATTCATGTGTCTTCTCATGCGCACTAGTTAAAGAAAGAAATGATACTCTAGGGAATGACACGTGGTCTTGAGAATAAGATTCTTTGTTTGAGTTGTATCCATATTCATGTGTCATCTCGTGTGCAACCGTTAAACAAAGAAAATGATACTCTAGAGAATGACACATGGTCTTGAATGCGAAAACAATTACGCCCACAACAAAAAGCCCTATTTATCTTTGAAATTGCGGCGTCTATTTCGACCCCTAAAACAATCCCACAATGCACTGCCATCCCAACTCGACCCAGTTTTTCTCAACCTCGGAATGGCTAATACGCAGATCAGTGATATCAGTTACTTACTTCTCAGATTCATTATCTTTCTGACTATCAAAGTCAACCAGGTATCTTTTGAGTCTTTGAGCTTTTCGGCTTCAGGTGTTGGCTCCCAGAACAGATCAGGTAAAGGTTCCTCATCCTAGACAAAAAGGTGTGTCAATATCTGTTGTTAATATAATTTTAGACTTAAATATAGAGTTTCTCAAGCTGTGATTGGTTGAGCGACCGGTGATTCTGAGACGATAATCACCACTGGACCAGTGATTCTGAGTTTTTCCAAAGTTTTTCAGAGTGGAAGTAATACTAATCCTGAATTTTGTCTTTTCTCTGATTATCAAGTCTAAAATTATACTAAAACAATTATTCGCCTCAGGCTCAGCAAATATGGTGATATTTACCTCGCTGCTCGAAGACTCATGGCTTGGTAAATATTCCACCGATAATCCCTTCGCCTTCGGCAAATGATTGTTAAATATAGGACAGAGAAGATATATTACAGACAGACAAACAGACAGACAGACAGACAGATGACTGGAAAGATGGTTTGACAGATAGAATTAAATAGGTGGACAGACATGAATTGCTAGACAAATGGGGTGGACAGACAAACAGACAGGTGGGTGGACATACAGGTCGGTAGAGGAAGAAAATTGGAGGAATGAAGATACATAGAAACACCGACAGACAGAATTACAGACAAACAGACAGACAGCTAAGTAGAAAGATAGATGATCAGATGGGAAGGTAAGCATACGAACAGACATAGATAGATACAGAGATAAAATGAACAAAACTGACCAAAAACTAGCTCAATACTCACGAAAGTGTTAGATGACTTCAGGTCCTCGATAACGATCTCACCATCCTGGAAAATAAAAATGTGGACTTTACTATCAAAATGAGAATAAAATGAAACAATCCAAGTCTTTCAAAACACCCCTTTCTGTAGGTACAGCATACACTTAATTCAGAAAACATTGTTGGCCAGAGGCTGTTCTAAAATTTGAAATCTGAGACTAGCATGCTGTAAAATGTAAAATATTCACAGCTGAAAAATGTAGCTTCCTTTTAGATTGGAATATGAAGCATAACCTTGGGCTTTTTTACCCATCTTGATTTCGTAGGAAGAAATGAGAGATGAGGTAGGGGGTAGGGGAGCAAACACCCCCCACAAACACACCTCTCTCTTCAGGATCCCTGTTCTACATGCCCCTTAGCATGAAAACTGTTAACTATACTTACCCATTTGCCTTCAATCTTGCACAGGGTTTCTTTACCCATCTTGATTTTACCAGATATGTAGTTAGACTCGCCACTCTTTTTCCAGAATGGCTAAAAATGCATTAAAAATACTTAGATTTGAAATATGTACCAAGACGGGCATGATTTGTGCCCCTTTGTTTCGGCTAAGAGTGGGTGAAAGGTACATTGACAGTGAGTTGGCTGTTGGGCGGGTGTCACAGTGAGTGTCAGGCGAGTGACGTGCAAGTGTCAGGTGATTGTTGGGCGATTGTTGACCTGCACATGTAGGCTGGTCATAAAGTACATGATTATTATGCAAGTCTATTCATAATGATGAACACAAACCTTGAGTTTGAAYTCTATTTCAGCTTTATAGCCAGTCTTCTCACAATTGATGGTCACTACTCCACCCAGCTCAAAGGTCAGAGTACCAATCAATATACCTGGAAAGAGAAAAAGATAATTCACTCTATAAGTGCTAATACCAACATATGTTTTTCCCCCTTTAGTATCTTTCTCCCTGCCTGTGAAACAGCCTCTGGGTTGATTTAGGTCAGGGAACGACATAAAGGTACCACTCACAGGGTCCGAAATTAGCGGTCGTCCAGTCGTCAGGGACAACTTAAATTTGCAATCACTACCAAATTTTGGAATAAGGTTGTCCTTCTGACAACCTACGTTACTGCCAATTGCAAGGTGTCTTTTTTATAAATAAATAAATAAATAAATAAATAAAAGAGTCCTTAAAGTCCGAATATAATTCTAAATTATATTTCTTCTGCTTAAAACCTAGAAAGTTCATTTTTCAACTGATGAACTTTCAAAAATTCAAGATAACGCATTCGTCGGAAGCCATTGCATGAATACCGCTGACAAATTTGATTGCATCTTCTGCATTATAGCTAACCGCTGACCATTGTCATTCAGGCTCTACAAAGTGGCGTCCAAGTGGGACTCCTAAGTTTTGCTCTGGATGCCTAAGAATTAGAACATGGTTGCCCAAAGGACCACTTAGCTCAAAAGTTAATTTCGGATTCTGAGTGATTATTAGACCCTTGAGTTATTAAGATTATTCCATTGAAGTTTCAGCTGAATTAAATTTCAGAAGGTTCACTTTTTAGACCCCCTTTAATAGTATGAGATTAAGGGAACATTCATAATTTATGGGGGGGGGGGGGTTATTCATGGATAGACCCCTTGCATGTGACATCAAAGCAGCTTGATCTGGGGCACAAAACAAAAGAATTCCAATCTCCTGAGAACTGAAACCTATTGTTTTGTCCCCCAGATTGAGCTGCATTCCAAAGTGCCGCAAGGGGTCTATTTAGTGTCTACTGAAAGTCTGTAGCTTGGTGGTGGGGATCAGTGAAAAATATATTATGTTTGAATGGGGGCCTACCCCAAAAATATTATTTCAAAATACAAAATCTTCAAAATATCAACAGAGATTAGATCACCACAGAGGTTGTTTCAGGGTTCAATCTGTGAGTTAGCCATGCCCTGACTTAGATCAGCCCAGAGGTTGTTTCAGTGTTTGATCTGTGGGTTAGCCATGCCCTGACTTAGATCAGCCCAGAGGTTGTTTTAGGGATTGATCTGTGAGTTAGCCATGCCCTGACTTAGATCAGCCCAGAGGTTGTTTTAGGGATTGATCTGTGAGTTAGCCATGCCCTGACTTAGATCAG